CAGCAACAACAACAACAAGGCAAATTAAAAACAAGGGAAATTAACTGCTGTAGCGAGTTAGTGGTTATAGTGTAGCTACAATTGCAAGCATATTTAGCCCTTTGTCACTTTTATCATTTTCAGTAGCCAAGTGTTTCACTTGCCTGCGGATGGATCCCAAAAGTCTCTTATGAAACCACAATACCTTTATTCAGCTTTAACAAGTGTTACGTTACTCCTCAATTCAACTAACTATTCTAGGTTTCTAACTCTCAAGCAAAAACTTGCATCATAAACCTAAAGTATAATTATGTAGCTTTATGCAAGTAAAGCCAAACAGAATGCTCTTTGTCAGTAGTATAGTTTTGGCTATGAAAATTTCTACAACTTTTTAATTTTCAATCTTAAGCTGCTGTAATAGGACAATATCAGCCCTTAGTCATCACTGTAGCAGCCTCACTAGCCTTGATCTGTTCTGTCAAGACTTGGGGTTGATTTTCCCCTGGTGTGGCCCTTGAGTTTAGTACCCCTTGTAGTTTCACATGGACAAGTTTTACAATAATACTGATTAACTGATACAATAACAATATTTTTTTTATTTGCACATACATGTACTGTATAATCAAACAAGGTTATGCTCTGCTGAGATTGCAACTTTGGTTGTGAGCTAAGAACCATGCTGCGACTGTAGAGAAAAGTTTTCTAAGATGAATTTCAATGAGAAATAAGTATGAAGTCATAGCAAAAACCAGGCTTTATGCCACAGTGTTTGCACATTTTATTGATAAGTTAAGATATGACAAATGAAATGTTAGTAACAGCTACTGTACTTAGAAATGAAGAGTTTGAAGCACACAAGGAATTTGCAATGAAAACAAATTTATGTTATATCTCATACAACTTTCAGTGTGGGAACAGAATCAAATCACAAAGAACTTGTCCCCATCAATCAACTTTTAAGTCTTAACAAACTTGTGCAAAAGAACAAGGTGACTGTAAATCTGTGAAATAGAATCGCATCAATAACAGCATTACTGCAATCATGCACAAGTTACAACATGTTACAAAGTAAATAAGCATTTGAGATAGGTTATTACTAAATAAAAGTAGACTTTCTGTTAATGCTGGTAAAAAGAAACAAAGCATGCTTGCCATATCTATACAAAGAAATCCTGACTGTATCCTGAGTTACATTGGAGAACTTATATTAGTGACAATATTTAAACTCCCAACCGCTTTACCTAAGATTCTGTAAAGAGGTATTCAACAATCAATACTTTAATTCCTATCCAGATTTTTGAATCATTTCAGTAATAGATCAAACCAGACATCAAGTAACAAAATTTCTCAAGGGTTATTAATTTCTTAACACAAATGCTAGTGTAAATGGTTGACATAATTAAAATATGACACCAATGCAGTAACTGATCTGATCCGGTAGAGTAAATCCTCTAAAGTGTCGTTGCAACAAAGGCAGCTTTAAAGACACTATGTACAAACTGTAGAACTGCGGGAGATGGTCAACAGGATCTACAGTTTCCATGGTTTCATAACTACAAAGTTAAATATAGATAAGATGCCACTTGTTCCACATTTCCATTGCTATTAGCATGCTCTTAAGTATGTAAACAAAATTAAGAAAACACCTCATAATTCAAAAAATAGCTTTTATGTTTCGCCTTCAAAACAAGCCTGCTCTTGGTCAGCTTAAAAAAGTGTCACGTTGCACAGTTAGTGGTCCCAGGATTGCCTTTTCGACGTATCTGGGTATGTTACAGCACCGCCATATCTGTCACCATAGTAAGACGAGTAACTCCGCTGGTAATCTCTAGAATAGTCACTGTCGTAAGTACTGTAATACCCATACTGGCCTCCAGATCCTCGACTGTACTGAGGAGGATATCCTCCTCTGTAGTAATCACTGCGGTCGTAATATGGATGGTAACGGCTTCTCTGATCAGGCGGTGGGTAACCCCATCCTCGTGAAGGAGGACCCCGCGAATAACCTTGTCTGTCCCTGTCCCTCGGGTATGGTGGCCGTCCTTCGCCGCTACCTCTTCCCTTCTTATGTGGAGTGGTGGAGAGTAATACTCTTATCACATTTCCTTTCAGTTCGGTTTCGTGGAGCTCTTTGATCGCCTTGTCGGCGTCTTCTTTTTTCTCAAAGTGCACAAATGCATAATTTCGAACTATCGAACTCTCCACAATATTACCGTATTTTTCGAAGGCTTCCTTGAGGTCGTCTTCGCTGCATGAGTCTGAGATGTTCCCTACAAACAATTTGGTAGGCATCGGTTGTTTCTTTGCAAATTTATTGCTATGATTTCGCAGAAATAGGCGAAAGTTTAAATGAACGCTGTCGACTCACTGTGACAAGATGGCAGCACGCGGTCGTGAGGAGTGACGCGCATGCCCTGGAATCTTATTAACAACCTGTACCGACAATTTCCGAAAATATCCGATAATAGCCGAGCTAAAGAGTTCTCTGGGTGTAAGATGGCTGCTCCCCTTTTCCTGGGATTTGATTCGAGTACGCAGCAACTGAAGGCTTTAGTTATCGACAGAGGCCTGAATGTTGTGACCGAGGCCTCCGTGCACTTTGATAGCGACTTACCGGAGTTCAAAACTCAAGGTGGCGTGCATCAACACGAAGATAAACTAACTGTGACTGCACCAACCGTGCTGTGGATAAAGGCATTTGACCTCGTTTTGCAAAGACTGAAAGAAAAGGGGCTAGAATTTGAATCTATTGCATGTCTGTCTGGAACAGGACAACAACATGGCAGTGTTTATTGGAAAAATGGAGCTAGAGAAACTTTGAAAAACCTTCAAAGTGGAAAATCTTTATATGAACAACTCAAGGTAATTTGGGTGGGGTGGCAAGTTTGGGTAGCTCGTTACACTAACTGTTACTCTGGTATATTTTAGTGTGAATGTATCTCGTGATCAGGCTGACATATCTCCTGATCAGGCAGATATATTTAGGCTAATGGTCAAGACTAGCCTCCGTGATAGTCCTATAAGGAGATACCTTTGGGATCAGGAAGTGTCCACTTAAAATTATTAAATAGGATAGATGCTCATCAATTACCAGGGTGCATTCCACAAGCCTTCCATGCGGAAGATATGCCAAGGAAGTTTAAATTCCATGCCATGCACCTGGAAAGCGGCCAAAGTTCCATGCTGAAGAATGCCACTTGTATTTTAAAAATGCCAAACCAACACTGGTGGAAAAATTTGGACTCAGATAGACCAAATAAGATGGCCATTATCGGCCAGTATATGGGGATAAAGAGAAGTTAAGAAGCCATAGTTACCACTCCAATTTACCTTGCATAGTTAAGCGCGTGGACATGCCAGCGCTAGCAAATTATATGTGCACACCACGATATGCCAAAGACTGTAATTGCATGCTGGTGCATTGCAAAATTTTAAAGGCTATGCCAAAAATCTTCGGTGTAATCCACGCTGAATGCACCCTGGGTCAAATAGCCTATTTGTTTATGGCTAGGATAATCCCCTGGCCAATTATCTACTCATGGGAGTTGTCCATTTAATGGAGGTTGAATGGTGTTTTTAATTTATGTTTTATTTTATAAAATTCAAGTACACTCTTACATGTCTGGCTTGCACTGTCTTTCTACTAATTACGAGTTTTATATTATTTGTGGAGTCTAGCTGAAAAGTTACATCCCTTTGGAAATTCTAGTTTTGGTTTGTACATTCCCTAAAAAATTATGTTTGGCTTTTGAGACCCCCTCCATCTTAGTTTAGCAATTCTAATGTGCAGTTCCAGAAAACATCCATACTTCCCCCACAGAAGAGACTGGAATTTCCTGGGGGGTGGGAGGGTTGTGTAAGACCAAAAAATTTAAAGAAATTTATGAAGATTTATTGGAATTTCCAGAAGGCAGGGTGGTCTTAGAATAAATACATTCCATGGGAGAGGTGTAGATATTTTCTGAAATTACACAGTAACCTTTTTAGGGTGGCTACGGTTATCCTCTGGAACTGTACATAATTGAATGATATGCCTAAAAGATCAGCATACCTGTACATGTTTCTTAACTGCTGATTTGTAATTGACTAAACGGATACTAATAGTGCATTGTGCTAAATCTGATGCAGGATTCATTTGCTGTCAGTGACTCTCCGATATGGATGGATTCAAGTACAGGAACACATTGCCATAACTTAGAGGATGCAGTAGGTGGTCCACAAAGGTTAAGTGACATCACAGGATCCAGGGCTTATGAGCGCTTCACAGGAAATCAGATTGCCAAAATATATCAGACAAAGCCTGATGCATACAACAACTGTGAAAGAATTTCCCTTGTAAGCAGTTTTGCGGCAAGTCTTTTGATTGGTGATTATGCACCAATAGATTTCAGTGATGGATCTGGGATGAACCTAATGAATATTTACAGCAAAACCTGGGAAGACGAGTGCCTTAAGGTTGGTGTTCAACAACAACAACAACAACCACCATTTATTTGTGTTCTCTGAATTAAACCATTCAGTCCAGTTATTACTATGGGAATTCAAAAAATGTCTGATTTGACTTTAGTATGAACACTAAGATGGTTGATGAAACCATTGGTATAATCATTAGGTCTTGTGGCTTATCAGTGTTTCAATATGAACTGCCTGACACTTGCCAGTGGTCCAGTGGGTATTCTGTGGTAAAAAAAAAGCTTTAAGTATAGAGTGTGTTCACGTGATGTCATCGAATTCTCAAATCCAAAACTAAAGAGCCACTAAAGGTTTTATCCTCATCAGGCATAAGAGGTACTAAATTTATACCTCTTTACAACTTTCAGCGCATTTTGAATTTCGCAGTTATGGTGGTGCATGACATGAAGCTAAGATCCCATTTGTTGAAAAATGTACACTCATCTGGTGATTTTTAGCCATTTTAGGAGTTAAAGTATTAGGAAAAATGCTTGACTGTGTAAATGATTTTTGGTTCAGTTCAGATAATCAGTCCTCTAGATAGCCAAAGTAAGTTCCAGATGTTTACACTACTTTCCAGCCACCCTAATGAGGGACTAAGGAGGTCCTCTAACATGGCAGCTCCATACTAGGCTCCATAATTTTGCACAGAACATTTCGACAAATATCTCAACTTTGGGACAATGCACACACTTTAAACTTGGAGAACTGTCATCTTTATTTATCGTCTATAATATCACAACCTCTTGACTTTATCCACTGAATGGTTTTTGATTTTATTTTTTATTTGGTGGCAATGCACACACTCTATTGTTTGGAGTTTTTAAAAATTGGCCCTCTATCATCTTGTCCAGGCGGAATGGCAATACTTCTAAAGTAGTAGAATCAAGTTACAGAAGCTGAAGATAGGTTAACCAGCAGCTGTGAGCTGAATAAATATGTAGCAGATAACCATTTGGTTATGTTCTACTCGAAAATTGACAGCCCTTAGCAACAATACATCACAGATGTCTTCTTTGAAAAGCTTAAATGCTTTTGACTAACCAGTTTATTACAAAATAATTAACTTGAATTTTGCTTTCTATTTCCAGGCATGTGCCCCTAACCTGAAAGAGAAGCTTGGGAACCTAGTTCCTGCTTATGAAATAATTGGCCCAATATCACAATACATGGTACAACAATATGGATTTGATCCAGACTGCAAGGTTGTAGCATTTACTGGTGACAATCCAGCATCTTTGGCAGGCATGAGGGTGGAAGAAAAGGATATTGTCCTGAGTCTTGGTACAAGTGACACACTTATGTGGGCTTATAAAACTCCCAAGCCTGCCCTAGAGGGACACATATTTGTTAATCCAATAGAAGGTATTGGCATTTATTTACTGTGTTATTTTGCCTTCTATCGTGATGACTTATTTAATATTAAAATTTATTACTTTCTTTTGATCCTAGACAATGCATACATGGCCCTCCTATGTTTCAAAAATGGTTCCCTTACAAGGGAGTCCATAAGGAACTCCTCAGCTGAGGGCTCATGGGAGGTCTTTAATAAGGCTCTGGAGAGCACCAATCGCGGTAATGATGGAAATATTGGCATCTATTTTGAAACCACAGAAATAACACCATTTGCTGTTGGAATTCATCGGTTTAATGAGAAAGGAGAAAAAGTAGAATCATTTCCAAAGGATGTGGAGGTTAGAGCACTTCTTGAAGGACAATTCATGGCCAAGAGAGCTCATGCAGAAGCACTGGGATACACATTAGGTAAGCAGGTGTATTTAACTGTGACATGAGAGTGAAAAAAATAGCTGTGTAAGTTTTATTTTCCTGTCTCAATTTTTCATGTGCTTTTTCCAATTTTTTACTGTCCATTACATGAGCACCCCGCTGTCTAGTCTAGTTTTCAAATGTATCTTCTATACCAGAATGATTCCTATATTTATGTGTGGGGAGGGGGAAGGTGGGTGATGGGAGCCTGGGAGAAAGCAAGCAGGGAGTTATTAATAAGCAGTGTAGAGACTATAAGAGATTGAAAAGCTAGCACAAGAGAAGAGTGTGGGAAGAAGGAATTTCAGAGGAAATAAAAGGTTTAGTTTTTTTTTTTCAATTCTATTAGAACGTTTAAAATTTTTAGTTAGTATTGCTCTTTTCACTGCAACATCTTTGAAAGGGGAAGATTGACATCCTGGCCTAAACAGGGTACTCAATGAATGAGTTGCCAGTAATCGGATACCTGTGTTTGCGCGAAGAACTCTGGGATTGTCAGGGGGCAAACATTACTAGTCGCTAGAAGGAAATGTATGGCGAAAAGTTGTTTCGAGGTATAAGAAAACGATTTTTGAGACAGATCAACGCTTTTTCGCCGTCGTTTTTATCGCGAATGGATTTGGGCAATGTTGATACGTGGAATATGTAAGTTTTTGTTTGAATGACCGTGAAATATATGAGAACATCTACTGATAAACTCCGTTGCTTGCGTGAGGTTTATTGTGAAATTTACATCGCGTAATGGTCTGAAAATATTACAAAATTAATTAGGTGTAAATCGAGAGGAAA